GAGAGAGAGAGAGGGAGAGGCCCAGTGCTCCAGGTGGACGAGGCCCGGGCTCCCGGGTGGATGGGGCCCGGGCCCGGGTGGAACGGGCCCAGGTTCGGAGCTCCTAAGGTCTAGGGTCCTAGGCACATGGGTCCGGTTCTAGTGAGTGACTAGGTACTGAGCTGGTTCGTTTGAAAGGGCCCGATTCTAAGAAATAGCGAGGAACAGGGGTCCGGTTGAAACAGGGCCCGGATCTGAGCAATGTAAGAATACACAGGCCTCGTGAAATGGGGCGGCTGGTTTTTAGAGATGCCTTGACACAGACCTTGTAAACAGGGGCTAGTTCTAACAAATTCGTGGACTTTGGGCCTCCTCGAATAGGGCCCAGTTATATCAAACTCCTACCAGAGGGGCCCATTGGAATAGGGTTCAGTTCAATTCTCCTAAAACTCTAGTCATCACAAGGGCCCGGTCTGAGGGTGGGCCCCACCGAGACACAGGGCCCCGGGTGGACGGGGCCCGGTTCTCAGGCCAAAAGTCTACGCAAGGGGATCGGTCGGACGAGGCTCAGTTCTCCGAAATGTCTAAGCAACGGGCCCCGGTTGAAAAGGGATCAGTTGTAAGAAATGGCTAGGGACAGGGGCCCGGCTAAAACGGGATCTAGGTCTGAAAAAAATGTGTGAACTTGAGGGCCTCAAACGGGGCCCGGTTCCTAGAAATGCCTTGACAGAGACCTTGGAAACAAGGGCCAGTTCAACGAAATTCGTAGATTTTGGATCTTTACATATGGGACCCGCCATCCGGATCCGGCTATGTGAATTCTCGACAAAGGGCTCTTTGGTAAAGCATACATACACCTAACATTCGTCAAAAGTCACCAAACGATCGAAGGTCTCTTCAATAAATAATCTCAGAAAGGCCTAGGCCTAGGGACTGTTGCAGCGCCTCCAGTAGAACCTATTGACTGGAGGCTCTACTAGAAGTTTTAATGGAGGTGCAGGAACGCAATCCGGTGACTTATGGAGATTGGTGTCAGAGATACCAAAAGAATGATGATGGTTCACTATTGTAAACAAAATTTATTTCAAACTTTAGTAGGCAAGATTAACAAAAAATAAAGCAATTAATTTTCTTAACATTCATTATTGTACAATTAACTGTCAGGACCCCCTTTTTTTCCATTCGTAATGGTCACAAACGTGCCATAATTGTACACCAGAGCCTCCAGTGCACGTCCAGTGAAATGTGAACCTCGCAAGTGACTGGAGGCTACTGGAGGTTTCTTGAGCTTTGGCGAGGGCTTTCTGGAGCGTACTTGAGGCACTGGAACGCTAAATGGAGAGTTCTAGAGCTTTCTGGAGCTTTCTGGAGGTTTCTGGAGACGCTGGAACAGGCCTCTAGTTTTTTACTCGGGGGGTTAAGACGCATTTTTATCTTGATCGAAGTCAACACACGAGCTACAAAGCAGACTGACTCCTTTATCGTTTATATTTCTTCGCTGCAAATATTTTTAGGCACTATCAGCCTCGTAACATTCTGGTGTATAATCATCTGAAAGATCACACGACGGTCCTCAAATTCCTTTACAATCACCACCTGTTAGTCATTGGAAGTCACTTACTTCTCGACTCCCCTGCAAGGGCCATGCGGTTGAAAATCATTTCTTCACTTTCGGTAAGTGCATGAGCTGGGCTTTCCTCGCAATCAAGTAATTTCACGTTGTTAATGTATTTTCTCAGTGTGATGCCGTTTTAAATGCATTAGCTCTATGTCGGTTCGGTCCTTAATGGGTCCAATGCTCATCTTTTTTACTTCTACAAGTCTTCTCTAATCCTTACATCATAAGATAAAGCCACTTTTCAGGACTTCCTCAAGAACCAAATAAAATACCAACAAAAAAATCATTAAAATCTGTCAGCAACTTCTCTGTGATGATCAGAGCTTTTCGATACCTCCTCGAAGCATGGATAAAATCAGAACAGGTTTTATCATACCTAAACCAAAACAAAACACACCTCGCAAACATACCTCGTCTTTCTTAATGCTGAGCTGTTCTTGCAAAGTCCTCGATAGCACGACGAGCTCATCTCGCTTCTGCTCACTGTCCACCCTTCTCTGCTTCACGGCCGCCAGCTTCTTGCGCAGATTATGAACTGGAACGAGTCACCAGTGACCTTATAATAGGGATCTAAATGCACGGTAGGCATAATGCGGCACAAGAGACACGTTATCCACGACACAGTTGTATGCTATCGATGCACTATGCACCACTATCGATGCTATCGATGCACCACTAGGTTCTCCAGTGTGCTGGAGAACCTAGTGGCTGGGCGGCTCCAGTGCATCCGTATCTGTAATCGTATGAAACGTGAAAATCTCCCTCCAATGTATGACGTTTATCACGTGATTGTCACGTGATATTTTCTCCCATTGTCAATTGTCACGTCCAATTGTCACTCCCTCCAATTGTCACGTGATATTTTTATAGGCAATACCTAAGGCTACCTCTCCCTAAGGACAACTCAATCAGAAGAACGACTGCGTAAGCGTAGCGTCAATAATGTATTATCTGCGCCAGTTCTGTAGTAATTTTGCATGCTTCCAAACTGGCGGCCATGCTTGTATAGTGGTGGTTCGCTCATGAAAATGAATCATGAAAATGAAATGTGGTTGCAATATTTTTCACCGAGTTCGGTCCTCAAACTATGTTTTTCTGCTTCAGAAAAATAAGAAATGCTAGTAAAAAAAATCAGCTCCATACATTGATTTTTTTTCGATGATACTGTCCCTTTAATATATCATCCAAAACAAGAGTGTTGCCTAAAAAGCCCAGCAGTAAAAGTATGCGTATACGACTTACCTCGGCACAAACACTCATATCTACACGACGTTGAGCATTAAGATTATTGACTTGTAAAGCGTATAATGCGCATATAATATACACAAGCACATGCTTCTAAATGCATGCATCCCAGCAAAAGGCGCAAGCCTTTAAAAACCAATCGGAAAAGTCAAAGCAGTTCATGCAGGACACATGCAAATGGTAATGCTCATAAATATTACAAGATTTAGAAAATTACTAGCTGATTTACAATAAGCCATCGAACTTAAATGAAGCCTTGCACAGGTACTGTATATTGATAACTTTTATTATGCTAGTTATTTTTTTCTTTTTTTTCGTGTATTTTCCTGGTACAGGTAAAAGAACAGTTTTCAAAGTACTTTTGCTTTATATGTGTTTTTTTCCGATTTCCAGGCATGCAACATACCTTTGGAGAAGAGAACCTTAGTAGCTTATATCCACCTGCGCTTAAACTTTTTGTATTGTTTCGGATATCGATATGGGCAAAATGTGAAACGTATCGCAAATCCGCAATCTGCAATGCAAATCCGCGGGCATGCGACCGCTAGTGCCTAGTGGAGATTGTGATCGACTGGTGAAACGCCCATCATACATTATTGAAACTGTCTGGGATCAGTACGCGCATGCTTATAAGACTTTACGGCATTGGGGATATCATCTCTGATCGAGTCCTTTTATTGTATAGATATCCAGCCATTGCAACAGCCTAGACGCAAATCAACAGCTAAGGTAATATTTTGTAAAATATGTAAAATGGTTTGTTTGCCACACTCTATGCCACAAATGTGCTTAAAGTTTCAACAGGCATGCCATTCAGCTAACGCCCGTAAAAATGCTGTCCATAAAAAATGGCAGCTGCTCGTAAGAAGTTAACCACACCGTGCTCAATAAACACAATGGCACACACCATGCTGGCTCACGTTCGGTTTCCAGCTGCTTTGATTTTTCGTCTTCTTGGTCGTCATTGTCCGTTCCACCATTGGCTCCCTTATCATGGTCCTCTATCTTCTTGTCATGATTTCTGAGTCTGCTCTTTTCATCGTCAAGACCCTCTCCCCTGACACGAGATGACTCGCGACTGCCTTTAGTTCTGCTCCTGGAATTGTTTATCCTGGTGTTATTCGCCGCTTTGGATTTATCTTTCTGTTTCCCCTTCCTTGGTTGGTCGGTACTCGATTTGGCGTTCTCGTCTGATGGATTAGTGCTCGCCTGAGCGGCCAACTCGCTGTGCCGCTCTCTGGAGGCGTCTCTGGACGCCCACGTCAGCGTTCCATCGGCCGACCGGCGGCCCGGATTCCCCTCCTGTATGCCGTCATCCTTTGACGACGTCCGGTGCAGCCTGGCAAAGTCGCTGTTCGCGTCCTTCCTGGACCCTTTCTCTCCACCCGCGCCCTTCGTGGACGCAGCGCCCTCCCATTTGTTATTCCGATCGGGCTCATTCACCCAGCCTCCGTCTTTAGACGTTTGGGCACCTTCGCCCTTGGACGTTTGGGTAAATCCACCTTCCAAAGTTTGGGTATCTCCGCCTCCCTTTCCACTTCGCAGACCATTGGTGTCTTCGTCCTGAAACGGTTCGTCTGCACCGACATCTGCATGACCTGCTCGGGCGGCGGCGTCTGCCGCAGCCCGTGCTGCCGAGTCGGTCTGTGGCGGCCCAGTGCCGCTGCTGGCCGGCCGGACGCCGGCCCTGACGCGGTACTCGTCCTCCGGGTGGCTCACAAACTGCGACTGGTAGCTGGTGTCTTCCTCAAACTCACTCCTCTGCAGCAGCTCAGCGTCCCCCTGCTTCAGTTTATCGGGCCGATGTCCTTCTTTCTTGACAAACTCGGTAAGGTAGCTGGTGTCCTTTTCGAACTCGTCTTTAGCCAGCAGTTCAGTGTCGGAGCGTTTCAGCTTTTCCGTTCGTTCGGCCTCCTTCCTGTTATACATGTGTCTGTACTCGGTGCTGTACGGGTCCTCCTCGCCATCACAGCTGTTGAAACCGGCTAGAAGCGCGCCCACCCGGTCCGGCTGGACGATATGCGACTTGCGCCGGCGCGGGATAGTGTCCACGGGACTCCTTAGGGCGGCGCCGCTCGGCTGGGGAACGCCGCCGGCGGCAGCCGGGTCGACGGCACCCGCGCCCGCCTCAGACACCCGGCGGTCGCTCTCGCTGATCTGCAACGGCGCCGGCGGCGGCGGCGACGCTCCCGGGTTGCCGTCGTCGTTGTCCACTTCGGCTGGATGCTCGATGACCATCACCGAGGTGATGGCGCCGCCGCCGTCGGACCGTCGCTGGCCGGCGCGCGCTGTCCACCGCCGGCCGACCGCCACCGGGATCCGCGAGGCTTTGGGCCGCGCCGGTGACGGCTCGCTGTGCCGCCTCCGACGCTTCGGGTGGTTCGTGCCGGGCCTCCTGGGCCGCTCCATCCGAGCGTACTCGAGCAGGGCGAGGGGCGGCGCCGGCTGCGGAGGCGGTGACGCGCCGGCGCCGGCCTGGCCTCCGCTAGAGGCGGCCATCAGCCGGCCGTTGTCTATAAAGATGACGCCGGAGGTGTCCGACTCGGGGGAGCGGACACCCCCTGAAATGGTGTGTCGTCGCGCTCGCCGCCGCCGGCGCCTCGGCACCGGAAACGCGTCGGAGGAGGCGACAGCCGGCGTCGGCGTCCGGCCAGCCCTACTGAGTTTGACGTGGCGCCCGCTCTGCCGCTCTGGGCCGCGCCCGTGCCGGTCGGGCTCACCGAGGTAGCCGCGGCCGCTATCAGTATCGACTGGCAGGTGAGGCCCATTTTCCTCCCGGCGCTCGCCCGCGAACAAGACGTGTCGACTGAAGTCGTGGTCGTACCGACCATCGTACTCGGCGTGGCTGTCGTACTCGGCGTGGCTGTCGGAGTTTGCGTGGCTGTCGTACTCGGCGTGGCTGTCGGAGTTTGCGTGGCTGTCGTACTCGGCGTGGCTGTCGGAGTTTGCGTGGCTGTCGTACTCGGCGTGGCTGTCGGAGTTTGCGTGGCTGTCGTAGCTTCTGCGGCGGCCGCGGCTGGTCGGCGAGTGGGGCGCGGACATGCTGCCCGGCCGGTCGTGCCGGCACGGACCGTCGCGGCGGCGGTGCATCTGTGGCTCGGAGCGGGTCGGCGATGACAGCCACCAGCGGCGGTACCAGCCGTGGCCGTTCAGCTCCGCCCAGGTGGCCGCCTCGCGCTCCGAGTCGGCTGAAACACAGACTGCCGTGAGAGGAGGCGTCCCGCCCCCGCCCGGATAGCGCTCTGCCCACTCCGACGGCGCTGTTACCGCAGTATCCGTTTACAGAGGCTGAGGCGGAGAGGAGGGGTACGGCGTGGAGGAGCGGGCTGACGCACCGGAGCGAGCCGCTGGAGTTGGAGCGCCGGACTCATTGTCTGGCCGCAGGGAAGCCCGAGCTCTAACGCAACAGAACGGAGCCGGGGGCCTCCGCAAATGTCGGAACGCGATAAACAAAAAATACTTAGAGGTCTGGAGAAACATGTTGCGCTCAGATAGCCCTAAAGCTAAGTCCTCTGCTTTTTTGTTGGCGCTGAAGATAATGATATGCAATAGATACACTGTAAGTTAAATGAGCCACTGTGTGATTAATCATTACTAACAACACTGTAGGCTTTTAGGCTCATTAATTAGTGTACTGTTTCCGACCCAATAGATTTACTCGTACAAAAAGACGGAAGAAGGGGTGTTTTGTTGCATCTGTGTTTGAGGTTAAAGAACACGGGTAAGGCTTTTTCGATAATCATGCTCTGTGAAAATTTAGTTAAGGTCACTACATAAGTAATCCATTATTCGAGCAAAGCAGGCATTTAATTAAATAGCATCTGAATATGATGATGACTAAGTTTTTTCCAAAGTGGTCTGGCTCAAAGATCATTATCCGTCGCATGCGTTTCGGCAACTCGCTTTGCATGAGTTATCGCATGAGCCGCGAAAATCTGCATCCTCGATTTATGTTCGGTAACAACATGAACACATGGTACCTGCCAAAATGAGCATACTCTGATGACGTCACCGGATGCAGCTGGCACCCAATGTCCGTACACGGTGGCACAAAGTGGCAACGAATTCGAGGAAAACTTTCCATTTTTCAAAGACAGCGAGGTCAGAATTGCGGTTCTGTCCACATACCTACTTCTAAATTACGCGGCACTTATGGAGTTAATCGGAAATAATTGAGATGTTAAAATAAGGCGACGTTCAATTTTATCAGCCAGTTTTTGCCCTATTGGCGGGCCAAACTGAGTGATTAGTTGAAAATTGTGCTTGGAGCCAAATCACTTAAAAAAAAACTAGATTCGACTACTTACAAAAAAAAACATTCTGCATTCAACAGCTTCCTTCTTAGTCTACTTGAATTCATGACTGCATGCCCGAGCATATGGAACTGGCGATTTATATTTACATAGCTACAAAAAAAAAACGAATCAATGATGTACTGAGCATTGGCATTATGCCATGATTTTTTTCGGCCCTTGATCATGTTATATTCTTAGTCACAACAAGACAATACTAGAAAAAAACTAGACTAGGATTGTTACGAGCGAGCGAAGCGAGTGACGTCTTACGTAAAAGAGCAGAAATTTCTGAGTATGGGCGGCCGGCCGTGGGGACGCTTTTGCGAGGCTCATCCCTCGCGCCAGACCCATTGGTTTTCTGCATACACCCTGCATACGCCGATGGGGGGGGATTGGTACGACCCTTTCGCCGTTTCACCAATAAGTATGATGAAGTTTCGCAGCAAAAAAAAAGCATGTGGCGGAAATACGAAATGCAGCGATCGGTAACCAATTTTAAGGTCTCAGAACTCAGGTCATATACGGCCATTCTCAGGTCCACCGGTGATCTGAGGTCAGGTGAAGTGCCCCAAGGCACGAGTTCGGTTTTTAGTAAATAACTTCGTCAAAAATCGCAGAACCGCGTGTTTGCCACAATCGTGCTTGTCTAGCTCAGGCGCGTCGAATGGCCGGTATTTTATAGGGAGTTCGATAAATCCGTGGGTTTACTCCTTTCAGTGAGTTTGCAAACTCTCTAGGGAGTTTGAAAACTCACTGACCGGTCAGGGAGTTTGAGATATTTTCTAGCGCGATTGTGACAAATAAAAACAAGTGTGCAGCATGCGTATTTGGAAATTCCGACCTCGACGAGCGTCTGTGGTAGAAAACCTCCACTTTGGTACGGGAAACTACTGCTGTCTGCTACCATTTGCACTGCATGTGTCGCTATATTTGCGACATCTATGCATATACAAATAAGCCGCAACATCTGTGTGCGCTGATTCTAGTTAGCGATTAGCTAGGGCACCAGGGTGGATCCAGGATTCCAGACTTTCGGTTTGAGGGTGGGGAACTCATGGCCGGCCCGATCCCCGGCAGTCAAAGTTGCTGAACGGGGGGGGGGGGGGAAGGTCCAATATTATGCCACGTCTTTTGCCTACAGGCATATACGTATGCATTGGTATTGGTAAAGTTAAAGCTAAAAATTATAAGTTTTATAAATGTAAGTTAAAAAAAAACACCGGCGCGGAGCGCTGCCGTTTTTAAATCCGCGAAAAACCACATATGGGAGTGTGGCAGTGTCCGAACACCTTCTACCCACTCGGTCTTTCTACGAGGTGCAACTGGTCTGAATTAAGGTCGTGACATGATGTAAATAGATACGATCATACGGCAGCGTTCCGCGCCGCTATTTTTTAACTTTCTTGGGTCTGAAATTTTAACAACGTGTGCGGAAAAGATGTAGCTACGTTTTTTTTTTTTTAATAAATTTGGTCCGAACGGGCCTTTTGAATGGAAGGGTTCACAAGGACAGGGCCCCCGCTAAGCAGACCTTGTTGCATTGGCCCTGCCCTCCATCCTGCGATCGCGCAATTCCTGATATATGACAGAATTTAGAGTCCGAAGTCGTACGCAATTAGCCGCGCATGGCCGGTCCCCTCACTGACTTTCATTGGCTACGGCCTGCCACCAACCGCAACCATACCAGTCAGGAGGCTCAAAAACATCGAGTGCCCTCGCGCTTCGAACCCAGACTGTTATGTTTTGACCGGGACGTGAGCTCCCACCTCGCGGAGTCCAACGCTCTATACCGACTGAGCTACGGGACCGGCTGCTGAGTCTAGAGTGCTGATACCAATACAGTACACAGGCAATAGGCATGTCTTTTGTGGCATTATATTGGACCTTCCTTCCCCACCCCCCACTCCCCACCCCCACCCCCGCTCAGCAACTTTGTCTGCCGGGGATCGGGCCGGCCATAAGTCCCCCCACCCCTCAAACCGAAAGTCTGGATCCACCCTGGTGCCCTAGCTAATCGCTAACTAGAATCAGCGCACACAGATGTCTAGTAAAGTTGGGTTCACGTGCTGACCCTCGGTGACCTGACCTGTGACCTGACCTGGTATTATCAATTTTATCAGTGACCTCTAATAGCAACATATGTACTAGGCAACTGACGCCCTATCGCTGATTTTCAACAAAATGCGTTTTACTCGATGTTATAGCGCATAATATCCGTGAACAGCGAAACATTTTATCTTTGACCTGACTGTGACGTCATCGGTGACCTCGAGGTCAATGAAGTTGGATTTCCTTCCACAAATTTGACAGGGCTATCGAACGCCGTTTGAATTTTACGAATCGGTCCAGTAGTTTCGGAGATACGGGGGGGGGGTGAAATGCCCCCGCGCGGAAGGTGGCACCGCCTGCCGGATTAAAATCATGGGCTTCCTCTATGTAGTCACGGGCAGCACGATCATTTTTTTTTCGCAAAGCTGTGGGTCGATCAGGGCTGTACGTCAGGGGGGGGGTTCAACGCCCCCCCCCCCTCCCCCGCCTATACGCTAGGCGCCGTAAAAAGGGCAATGCGGCCTAGGGTTATGACATGAGTGCACCGCCGCTGGCGCGGTCAATGGAGCCGCGAATTCCCCGGGGGGTGGGGGGGGGGGGGGGTCGAGCCGGCACGCCCGAGCCACTCACAGGTGTTTCTGACCAGCGGGTATCACTCACAGGTGTTTCTGACCAGCGGGTAGTCGCGGTGGAGCTGCAGCGCGCGGTGCCAGCGGCGCCAGTAGGCGGCGTCCTCCAGCTCGTCCAGTGGATCGTGCGGTAGCAGGCGCAGCAGGTGGATCTCCGGGTCCGACGTGTACGGCGGCATGAAGTTGCGCGCCTTCAGCTGCGACTCCTGCTTCGCCTTCACCTGCGGGCGGGGAGCGGACGTTGGGCGGCGGGCCGACACGGACGGAGCGGACGTTGGGCGGCGGGCCGACACGGACGGAGCGGACGTTGGGCGGCGGGCCGACACGGACGGAGCGGACGTTGGGCGGCCAAACGCAGCGCGACGGCACAATCCAGGAACATAGTTACGTAGGTATCAGTGAGTGAGAAGAACATACGTATCAGTGAGAAGGTGCGGCCGTCGCGCTGCATTGAATTTACCTTCAAGTCTCGAATGCGTAGGTTCTATTGCTTCCAAATTAAGCTTGATCCGCACCTCGCTCTACATCTGCACTGCCCCTTCGCAAACCCCTCCCGTATCACCAGCCTACCCATCCCGGTGAGGCATGCTTGTCAGACTGAAGCAGTGCGTGGACCCTGTGTCAGGTTTATAAGAATGCAGCCTGTAGATCAATCAACTTAACAATGGTGGTATGCAAACGCATTAACCCTCGCCCTGGCAGGGCATTTTTCATAACACGGCCTGGCAGGGGGGGGGGTTGATGCACCCCCCCTCGCGATTGGCTCCTATGGCACCTAGAAACACCAAATTTGGTAGGTAGGTGGGCCCCCTGGAGTTCTCGCCCCTGTACAAATTTGGTTGCTCTAGGTCAATATCTAGGGGGGTTTTGGGGGGTATAAATGTAAAAATTTCGCTAAAAACAGGTCAAAAGTTTTTCGCTTACAACCTTTGATCTAATTAGGATAGAGAAAAAAAGAAAAGCACCAGTGAACTCAGCACATCAAGGCGCGTCGAATGATATACTTTTTTGTTTGCTTAAGCGTACTTAAAGTTTTTCTTAATTTTTAAGTAAACTTTAATTAACTAATTAAGTTAAAGTTAAGCAAATTGCATCATATCGCATATCATTCGATTCGGCTGATCACCAGGAACACAATGACACCATTTTTAGGCTCTAGCGTCATTATGTGCCAAGTTATTGGCAAAAACGTCATTTGACATCAGTTGACCTCATTTGACCTGACCCATGGATAAGTACACCAAATAAAGAAGCACCAAGTGACCTGCTGTTAATTACTATGGTTTCAAAGCACAAAAGTGATGGAACGAAGCGGATATCTCCAGTATTTTCCGAATTTAGTATTTTCCCATAGGCTTAACATTACGACGTAATGACCTCTAACTGACCTCAGGTCGGTGACCTAAAAAAACCCGAACTATATGTTCGGGTTTTCGGGCCATACGCAGGGACGTACAGCCCACCGCTAAAGTAATGTAGGGTTTTACCAATCTCAACGGTTGGCTTTGACTGGCGATTGTTTAATGCGGAGTGATCGAAAAGAAGATGTCAATAGCTAAAGTTGCAGCTGCAAGGGTGACGATACATATAAGCTTCATTCAAAGTTTCATTGTAGTCTGGTTAATCGTTCCTAAGCTTCAGAAGCAGAACATACCATTACCCATACTGAAACCGCACATTACTTCTGCTGTGGACTGTAGGGGAGGGTGGGGTAAGATGCCCAGGTTGGGAAAGACGCCCCACCCCTTCTAGCGGCGAAACAAAAAATCGGACCTGGAAATTAATGTTCTTAGCGTAAAGCGGAAGCCTGCCTTGTTAACTGCACAAAAATTGCGAAGCTCAGTTGAGCAACGGCTGGCTGATGATAGCATGTTTTTTATTTGCTGCTTTCAAAAAATATTTTGGTGTCAGAACATTGTAAATATCAAAGAAGGTAAATAATTTTTGCGTCCCCTACTATAGTCGTGATACATTAGCATGCGTGTACTGTGTTCCAAAAAGTTTGTTTCAGGGTGTAGTTTTATGGCTAACAAATTGTACTGATTTAATGTTACTTCGGTACCTTGGGGTAAGATGTCCCCTGTCCTGATGGGGAAAGACCCCCTAAATCCGTAGGCTGTCCTTCAAACAGCCCGTCAAATCATTTATTACATACTTGTGATGTAGACAAAAGCCGATCTTGGACTATTGAGAGTCCAGTACGGTCGGGTGCTCCCCATGCCGGTCTCTCGGCCCACATAGCGACTTTTTGGGCGGCATCTGACTCTGAGAGCCCTCACGACGGCCTCTGTGGGCCCCATTATTGGCTCCAGGGCCCCTCACGACATCCTTTGAGGGCTCCCACGTTGGGCCCACGAGCCGCGCTGGCATCGGAGGTCCCCACGATGGGCTCGAGGGCCCTCAAGCATCATGAAGACCTATAAGAGCCCCACAGTGGTCTCCGAACGCCACCACAGAGGCTTGTTTGGCCGCGCTGGACTATGATGGCCCTAACGATGACCTCTGAAGCCCCTTACGACTACTTTTGAGGGCCCTTATGATGACGTTTGGTGTCTACTGTAGGCTCGAAGGGACTACTGCATAGGCGCGGGAGCCGGGGGGGCAGTGGGGGCAGCTTGCCCCCCCAACTCTGGGGCTGTGGGGGCGGTGCCCCCACAGCTTTGAGACGGAATACCACACTTTTTTTGCAAATGTTTTCTTTTTTTGTTGAAAAAGCCGAGGGGTGAAAAATAAGTGGCCTAAAACCGGTGAGAAAACTAGATTTGGGGGTACCTTAGGTTAATCTCTATTATGGTGTGCCCCCCCAGTCGCAAAGTAGTTCCCGCGCCCCTGGACTACTGATTCGTTCAGGCGATTCACGTGCCCATTTATGTCACGACACTTATAGTGCAGGGGGCATCTTTCCCAACGTCAGGGGGCGTCTTTCCCATCCTGTGGGGTAAGATGCCCCCTTTCACTTCTTCAGGAAAATGCTTAATAGCAAAAAAGGTTATAATATTTCAGGCACGAAAGTGTGATATTTTTGGAGAAAAATGATGTCGGCTTCCGTTGAAACTCCAAGTTTTTGCTTTCCCATCGTCATTTTCGAATAATATATGACATAGCAAAACCCTGGGCATCTTTCCCCACTCTCCCCTACGTAATAACATGGGACAGCGTGTTATCGAACAGGGTCCGACTTGTGTATACCGGAATGTCCGCCATGTTACCGGGAGCGGTAAGGGCGCGCGGGTTACACCGGCGGTCAGCGCAGACGCACTGAAGAGTATGTATTTTGTCGGAGTCGGGCCGAGCGTGGCTCGCGAGTTAGCCGAAAGCGGAGAAGCCGCCCGACCGGGGGAGCTGACCTGCCCGACCGGGGGAGCTGACCTGCCGCGTGCCGCGTGTTGGCTCGTGTGCCTTTGCTGTATCCACCATGGACTACACCACACTCAGAGATACGATACCAGGAATGCGCAACACCTCAGCCTGCGGTTCCGATGGTTTGTGCATCCGCACAATAAGTTATGTTTTGATGAGATCGGTGTGCCGCTCCTGAACATTGTGAACACTCGTCTTATGAACTGTGATTTTCCGGCGCCTTGGAAGCAACTCCCTTATCCATCCCAATATACCCTGATCCATCCCATCCATAAGTGGTCCTTGCTCCAATCCTGCCAATTTCAGACCCATTTCTCTAGTCCCCGTCATGGCCAAAATTGTCGAGCGAATTGTTCAGCGTCAACTCTATGCAATATGCATACCTATCAGACAATCATCTTTTAGCTTCTGCTCAGCATGGTTTTAGGCCGTATCATTCAACGGAGACTGCTTTGCTTGGTGTATCTGACCTATTTTATCTGCGATGGACAGAGGTGAGCTTACTCTACTCTGTCTAATCGATTTGAGTAAATGTTTCGATGTTATCGACCACTCTAAGCTCCTGATCAAATTACAACAGCACAGGGTTGACGTTGAGTGGTTTCGCTCTTACCTATCTGACCACACGCAAAGTGTTTCCATCGCGGATCCGGTGTCCGGTGATAAGCATCTCTCGCGGCCGCTGCGGAATGAAATGCAGGGCGTTTTCCAGGGGTCTGCCCTCGGGCCGTTGCTGTACACTGTGTTTGCAAACGACCTAAGCCACTACGCGCCCGATTCACTCGTGATCCAGTACGCTGATGACACGCAGATACTTGTGTCTGGCGGAAAGAATGGGATTAATACTCTGATATCGCGCATGGAGAGCTCCCTCGCGTCCCTGGACGTGTGGTTCAGAGGTAACGCCCTGACGGTCAACGCTTCAAAGACGCAGCTCATGGTACTCGGCAGCAGGCAGAACCTCCGCGGCGTCCCCACGATTGAGGTGCGCTTCCGGGGCGAAACTCTTCATGCCGAAATCAAAGTGCGAAATTTAAGTGTGATCTTTGACCCGGTCTTGTCATGGGATGACCACGTGGCACATGTTGTTCACAAGTGTTTTGGTATGCTGATGGGCTTAAAGGAACCCTCCCACCTTCCCCATCTTCAAAAAAGTTAATGAATTGGCATGAAAGTGATGTCGCTTGGTTCAGAAAGAGCGAAAACGAACATATACCAAATTTCATCGAAAAATATTCACCGGTTTTCAAGATATTAGACTTTTACTTTTGTTTCTTTTTGGGATCTCCGCTGTTCCTAGCGACTTTATTTGAAAGTGCGGCATTTGTTGCGAGCAAAGCAGCATATACCACCGCGTGCTACCAAATGTTTTAGTAAAAGATTTAAAAATCGTTAGATCTCCGCTGACGTCACGAATTCTAAGGGGGTATTCCAATGCACTTAAGCCCCTTAGAATCCGAAAACTGCAAGTTTGAAATTCCATATCTCCGAATTAAAGCATTTTTCGATGTTGTGAGTGCCCAAACCGGTATTTTCAGGCCATGGCCAGTGGCCACCAATTTGGCTATCTCAACTCAAAACTAATGTTAAGGTGGGATGGTCACTTTAAGTCATATTCGGCACTACCTCCCGGAAAATGTGATACCTACTATTGTGCATGGTCTTGTCATGTCTCACGTTAGATATTGTAAATCTGTTTTTGGGAACTGCTCAGACAAAAATCATAGGAGGCTTCATAAGATTATCAACTTCTGTGCAAGGGCAGTAACTGGAAGGCGCAAGTATGATCACATATCAGATGTTCTTAATGGTCCTGACTGGTTCACTTCCAAACAGCTGTCTGTCTATCACTCTCTCACCCTCGCCCACCGAGCTCTCAGACGGGGAGAAGCGATGCCACTCGCCTCACTTTTATTCTGAATTCTGGCTTACGAGATAGACAGACACGACAAGACCATGGCTTTCATTCACCGCGCATCCGATCGGAGGCGGGCAGGCGCCAGTTCGCTTACCGCGCCCCACAGCTGTATAACAGTGTACCGGCCGGTATTTGTTTATTAATTATGGCGGCGAGTTGATGGAGGGGTAAATAATTTCCGGACACCCTGTATAGCTCTCAACCAATACTTCTAGACAACAAGGAGATCATTTCTTTCACCCACTGCTAGCAGCTACTAGGCTTCTGTTTCACCGGCCCGACGCTGCGCGCGCCCTGGTGGTGCCCGGACGCAACAAATCCGCCGCCGCCATAGCAACGACATTGACCTCCACTGTCTGTTGCGGTTCCAAATCCAAGCCAGCGTGGAATGGGAGAGTTCGGTCACCCGCAGCTGGCAGCTCGGTATGTTTTCTAAGCATTGCACTGGCATTAGTAAGATTTGAGAATTTCATTAACATGTTTCTGCTTACGCTTTAGGTTTACGTGAGTGTTAAGCTGTTAGATAAAATAAATTTATGTAAAAGTCGTTCATGTTTTGGTCGTAGAAGTAAAATAAACTTCACCAAAAAAACAGCTCAAGGCAGTTATCATATTCCAGACCGGTTTCGGCACGTTTCAGTACCATCATCAGTGGGCACACATGTTACATTGATGCTACAAGACATGACAAAGCTAATACAAAAATCGTAGTCGTTCAAAATTCACAAATCGCTACATTGGTATACAAATTCGTGGTATCGTATACAATTGGTTGGTACATATTGGTATACAAAATCGTGGTATACAAATTCTGTTGCCCCTCGTGCGGGGGGTCGTACAGCCCACCGCTAAAGTAATGTAGGGTTTTACCAATCTCAACGGTTGGCTTTGACTGGCGATTGTTTAATGCGGAGTGATCGAAAAGAAGATGTCAATAGCTAAAGTTGCAGCTGCAAGGGTGACGATACATATAAGCTACATTAAAAGTTTCATCGTGTCTGGCTATTCGTTCGTAAGCTTCACAAACAGAACATACCCATGACTGAAAATCCCACATTACTTCTGCTGTGGACTGTACATTGGTTCTACCAGTGCACGCCTTAGCACCAGAGTAAGCCAGCATTTAGGAATCTCTGAGAGAACGGGTAAAATGCTAACATCTCCTCCCCAGTCATCTGTTAGAGATCATTCAGATCAGGGCTGTCTCATCCCTATCTCTGTAACGTGTCGTGTGCGACCAATGACGTCACGGCATTGCGGCGTTCTGATTGGGCGGCAGCTCTGAATCGCCCGACTGGTGGTCCCCTGGTCCCCGCTCGACAAGCGCACGTGCGCCGACTACTATGGACGTCAAACCCAAGGCTATAGAACTCCTTGTCAAACCCCTTGAGACCCCACTTTTTTGCGATAATTTTTAAATGCGTCAACTCTCGTTGACAATATTCTGGCAATGTGTGTTTTAGAACCTGCCGAAACTTTTATTAAAAAGGTATTTTGACGCCAAACGATTATGAAAGGTACTTCTCATTCACTCGTAATGTTAAATTTCACGGAACGAATCTGCTGTTTGGGTAGAGGCTACGCGGTCATGGGGCGGAGCCACGTAATGACGTCAGCGCTAAGCTCCACCCTACCCCTCCGGCGCTCCTTGCCCGGCGACCGGTCACTCGCGTCTCTCGATCCATTCAGGCTTGATGGTGGGCGGTAGCTGGTAGCGGTAGCGAGCGCTGGTAGATGACACTTAGAGCAGATGGCGCTGGTGGCGGGGCTCGAGTGTGGCCGAGCGCAAGCCTCTGCCTGGGCCTGAATTGACCTTAGCATTACGAGTGAATGAGAAGTACCTTCCATAATCGTTTGGCGTCAAAATACCTTAGTAATAAAAGTTTCGGCAGGTTCTGAAACACACATTGCCAGAATATTGTCAACGAGAGTTGACGCATTTAAAACTTATCGCAAAAAAGTGGGGTCTCAAGGGGTTTGACGTCCATAGTAGACATTTGTAGTGGCATTGACGGCAGAAAAAGTGAGGTAATGCAGAGCTCTGAATATACTTGAATAGATTCTAAGCCGTTAGTAATACGTAAAAACGTCAGATAGGTTTCTTGTTCGTCTTGATTTGAGCTTTTATGTGATATTACTTTTACCTTAGTGTCGAGGTTGGCAGCTATGTGGGAGAGCCCTAAAGTTGGGTCATTTTCCATAGGATTGCATTACAGCCGTCCGACCCTTCGTACCAGTGACGTCACGGAAATCGCTGCTTCGGCCTAATGAGCATACCTTCTATATAGGCCCTTGCATTCAGATGAGTGTGACACCCGCTTTTCAATTTCGGATTTTCAGATACTAGGAAGACCGCCTACAGCTATGGACCTTAGAACGCTCGAACCTTTGTACATACATAGGGAAAAACCAAGCTTAAATGGCAAAAACTCAGCTGTGCCCCTTCAGATTGTTACATAGACAATGTCCACCACCTGGTGCTTTATTTTTGAAGTGCCTTGAGGCATGAAACACCTGAGTTTTTGGCATCTTTTTCAAATAGGTCAGTGAGAGTCTCAAGCGATTTTAAAAAACTGTAACGATTGATCCGAGTGTTGTAGCGATTTGTGAATTTTGAACGACTACGATTTTTTGTACTAGCTTTGTTATGTCTTGTATCATTAATGTAACATGTATGCCCACTGATGATGGTACTGAAACGTGCCGGTCACTGCCGAAATTAATGTAATATTTACAAAAAAAACAGCAAAGTAACGGCCCATTCATTCGAAAGGTGGAAAACCAGGGCCTCGTCTAACATGTTAACTGGTGGGCCAAATGGCCCACCAGTGCTCAGAATTGGCCCACCAGTCACAGGGAAGTGGCCCACCAGTTAAATCTTACTTCATAGAGAAAAAAAAAACAAAAAATGCGAGATTTTTTCATTTTTCAGATATCGACCAATTCAGACGGGTTTGTTTTGTACATTAACTAGAAACTTAAAAAAACCTACATAAGCGAATCTTTGAAATTTTCCTTTGTATCAGCACCTCATATGGCATCCCAAATGGCAGTTTACCTCTACGACAAAAGTGACGAATATGTTTCAAACGAAAAACGCTCTGTGGGTATCGACGTGTTTTTAATTCTCGCTAACGACGCGTTTCTAGCACTATGATATCTGTCCGAGCATTCAACAACCAATCAAAGAACAACCAACAGTCATCAACAGTGTAGACATGCTGTAAACACCGCTTACGAACACAGCCAGCGACCAGCGTTGCATGACGTGCAACTTTCTGTTTCATGAATCAGAATGTCAATGCTTACGGGTTAAATTAAATCATTTTGATATCAGCATCATCTTCATTCTTCGGTGCGCAGCGTAATTCATCGTAGTTGTCTGTTGTTAGTTTATCTCATTTTTATTCTCGCTGATCAGTTAAAAGTTATCATTTGATTCTCATTGAGAATCTATTGTATTGCACCTCAACCTACCTTCCCACACTCCACAGTCACAGGCCACAATTAATTCAGCAATTGTTGAGGAAAGGCAATGTAATTGTAGGTTAAATAATTTAAGTGCTGGCCTAATTTGTGTTGTGTGAAGTGCAGGCAGCTATAGGCTCCTAGTTCAACAAAGCAGAGTAAATGGGTAGGTAGGTCAGCTCGTAAAAGGCATTGATTCCATGAAAAAGTATATATAGGTACCTACAATTTCAAATATTGTTAGATGTGTATACCTACTGTTAAACTAATGCATTCATAGGCAACATTGTCTGCATCTGCCTACCTGCTTGCTAAACAGTTTGTCAGTCAGTTTGTCAGAGTCCTACTATTTTACATCTCAATCATATTTACCTACCTACCTTGCCTCAGCCAGAGCCTGCACTTTAATATATATGGTACAAATGTTAATACTTGCATTTTTTCAATGATAAGAGCAACTACATGTAATGCAAACATTTCTACTATGTACCACATAGGTACGTTCCTTCCACCAGTCCACCAGCTATCATATTTACACAACAATCATTGATACCAACCTACCTTAGTTCTCATTGGTTTGTTTTACTCATACCTACTGTGGCATATTATTCAAGTTTTGTCACCAGTTGATCATCTATTCTCACAGAACCCACAAATGTTAATGATACTTCATTGGATTGACTTGAGATGGAGGGATACCTTGTGATCAAGTAATCATAAATGATTATCAACTTAGGTACTATTTCAGCATGGATTAGGAATCCATGCAAATTTGTTGTGTGGAGCAGCATCTATGTTTAAAATAGTTCACACAGGTGATTTGACATTCTGGTGAAGCAATATTTCAGTCTTCCCATAAAAAACATGCTAATGAGCTGGCTGCAGCCAGTGGACTTGTCCATGAACCACAGTGTATATGAGTAATTGTGATTCAGAGTTCATTGTTGAATGTAAATGGCTAAAAATGTTCATTTATTGTACAACATATTTGTCATGGATCACACCATCTGGATAAGCTTTGTCTTGATAATATGTTGGCTCATGTCTAATATCTAAATGCATGAGTGTAATAAGCTTACTTGGTCATCTATTGCAAGTTAAGTCATTTGTACTTAATATTCATGCAAATATCTTTAAGGGTGTTCACTTCACTTTGATAACCAACCCTTTGAAAGATTAAAAGCAGAACAAAGTGAACAGGCATGCTGGCAGTGCAACCATTGCAGTGCACCTAGAATTGCTCCCCACTAAACTGCATGATGTTCTTTGATAATAATGCTGGAAATTAAAAACATTTAAGAATTTGTTGAACTTAATATATGTTGCAATTGTTGTATATTTAGGTTCATCCCATCCATTGGTACATGAGTAATTTCTGATAGAACATGCCAGCTCATGTTGCTTGTGATGAATATTGTTCTTTTCTATTGTTCTCTACCAGCCACCTAGTGATTATTCACCAGTATAACGCCTTTTGGGGCGACTAACGGAGCGAGCGAGAGGGTGGGCCTTGCACGTGCGAAATTGCGAGGGGGTACCTCCAACTGACTTGTGCACGGCACCCTACTAACTGGTCTCTAGCGATGTGCCAAATTAGGGCACAATCGGCCCAGCCGTTCTCGAGATCTGGAAGCGGCACCCTGCACGTGCGCACGTGCAAAATGGGTCCCAACTGACTTGTGCACGGCACCCTACTAACCGGTCCCTAACCGTGTACCAAATTTGAGCGCAATCGGTCCAGCCGTTCCCGAGATCTGGAAACGACCCCTGCACGTGCGCACGTGCAGCAGCACCCCAACTCTGGCACATGTATATGCAGTGCCTAGTGGGTGTCTACCTACATGCCAACTTTCAGCGCAATCGGCCCAGTAGTTACCGAGATATTGCAACAATTACAAAACTGACACCTCTTCGTTTTGCACGTGGCACGTGCATAAGGGGTCACCCACATGCATCGGGAATAGTCCAATACTTGGTAGAAGGAATGAAGCTACCCTACAAAAATTACCGCATGTAAATCGGTCAAGTGGTTGCTGAGATATAAGCCTCGCAAAAGCGTGACCACGGCCGGCCGGCCGCTCATACTCAGAAATTTCCGTTAATCTAAGGAAAGACTACGCTCGCTTCGCTCGCTCCGTAATGAAATTATAGTTTCCTTGCTGCCCACCAGTCCAGGACTGTTTTGTTCAACACCTGCTTTCACATCCAGAAAGAGGCAAGGATCCTTGCTGGACTTCTTCCAGAAAAAATCGCGGTAAGAATTGCTTAGTCCATTCCTCTGTGACCAGTCCATTGCGGTGGAAGTATTATTTTTGAGTATGATGTATCTTTGAGGTTGACCTGTTCAGTAACCAGTTCGCTCTCTGTGATACCTATATAAGTCTAAACAGTCTTAGATTAGATGTTATATGTCTGGTTAACACCCTTCATAGATGCAACTCTGTGATATTCAAAGCAACCTTTTATTCCAGTTTTTTTTTTGAGGGGGCAACTGTCTGTCACGGCCACAGCCAGTCATTAATGCAGACCCAAAAAGCGAAGCTTACTCGTCTATCTATCATCAAAAGTAATAATTATATGTTTGGATTAAATTAACAATGCAATCAAATTCCACAGACCACCTGGCCAAGCTGACGATCGGCGAGATGTCCGGGCCAGTCATCCAGTCCCACTATCCGTCCCAGACAAGACTGTGGCACCTGCACCATCCACGCCGCGTCCTGAGACTCCTTGCTCCAGTCGGAGTGAGGCTGGTGATGCTCCTGGACTGTCCACGCCGCGTCCTGAGACTCCTTGCTCCAGTCGGAGTGAGGCTGGTGATGCTCCTGGACTGTCCACGCCGCGTCCTGAGACTCCTTGCTCCAGTTGGAGTGAGGCTGGTGATGCTCCTGGACCGTCCACGCCGCGCCCTGAGACTCCTAGCCCATCCATAGGAAATCGAAGTGTATGGTATCAGGGGTGTAAACTAGATGTAAAGTGGCTCACCGAAACGTACCCGTGTTTGAAAGCTAGAAAGGAAAGCGTGGGAAAGCGTCAGAGAACGGTAGTGATTTGTCAGACGTGTAGAGACGAACTTCATGTAGCCGGAAGGGCATCAGTCAATGGGCGTGTATACATCGCTGAAGGAATCCGAGTCGACGGGAAGGACCGACTGAAGTCGGTAGTCGACCATTTGCCTGGGAAGGTTCACAAGGCAGCGAGTGACGCTAAACAACTCTCTGAAAAGTGGCAAAGTCATGAGTCAGACCATCCATGGGCGAAACTTCTGAAGAAGCATCAGTCAGATTTTGTGTCCTTCCTTGTGCAGCTGGCAACGGATGTATACAATGACTCCCTGATAGAAACCCCCACCGCGTGGTCTTGGCCGGCGCGCTCGCTGACAGCGCTGCACAGCCAGCGGGTGATGACAATGATGACCGAGTCAGTCCCGTTCACGCCCACCCAGTCTTCCCAGGCCATGCTCAGTCATCGATCGCCGGATACGTACCGGGAGATGTTGGGGGTGATCAGTGGTTTGGAAGTGAAGAAGCTGGGCCGCGCAATGTCGGAGTGTTTGGTCTACAGCATACAAGTGGACGGCTCTGTTGACAGGCAAGCCGTCGACAATAAGTTTGTGACAGCGCGAATTCTGGAAGAGGACGGGAACCTGCAGACTGCCATACTTGGCGTGGTGGAACCCAGTGCGTCTGGTGCGAACGGGCTGCTAGAAGCAGTGAAGGACTGTCTGGCGCGATCAGAGGCTCCGCTAGAGAAACTGATCGGTGTCACCACGGACGGGGAGTCTGCTAATACTGGCCGACACGGGGGCCTATGGAGGCTCCTGGCTGAGTACTCACAGCGGCAGCTCCTCACCTTCTGGTGCGCATGCCACCGCTCGGATCTCGCGATGGAAAGCGTGGAAAAGACCGTGACGGAGATTCGCCATTGGAAGATTGAGCTACGCGCTGTAGCAACCTTCTTTCGCGCATCTGGAAAAAGGACAGCCCGGCTGAAAGACCATGGAGGCAACGTCACATTCCCAGCTTTCTTCGAAGTCCGCTTCTCGCAGCACCTCCTCGCTCTCATAACCGCTGTTTTGAAGAACCTGCCAGCGTGCCGGCGAGTGTGGGACGAAATGCGCCAGCCTGGAAGCGAACAGAGTCGTGCGACCAGGTCGGAAGCCGAAGGCTATCTGCGCCGATGGGAAGCTGGGGGAAGGTTGGTCAAACTAACCCGCATCATGGGAGACGTCAGCGAAGTGATCAGCCCAAGGCCCTATATACCAGGTAGGTTCATTAGGGAATTTTTTACGTTCCCCCTACCGGCCCCGGATGACGTCACTGGGATGCTCCCGCCGCGGCCGGCCTATGTATAGAGCATTACTACGGACTTTCCGGTGGCATTTTTTCGTGTTATATCGCCCAAAAAGCTTTCGCGAGCACTTTCCGCACGAGAAATGGAAAATATGTCGCATTTTAAAGTGAGTAATAGTGATATAAGGTCACGTCCAGGAAGAGTGGGCCGAAACCAGCGAGGCTTGTATGGGTCCCAGGGCGCAGGGTTATGGAGTCGGACCAGACTTTTGAATCGCGATTGTCGGAGTCGAACTGGAGCCGTAAGCGGAGTCGGAGTCGATTTTGGAATTCGGAGCAGGAGTCGGAGTCGAAGTCACCAAAAATTCATCGGTTCCGCAGACTGCGGAGCTGCAGGGCTGCGAAGTCTCAGCCGGAATCGGTCAGAATAGACAGTTCTCCCGGACCGGAGTAGGAGTCAGAATTAGTTTTTGGAACTAGGAGTCGGGAGTCACCGAAATTGCATCGACTCCGCTGCCCTGCTAGTGCGCTCAGGACGGATGCACTGAAATTGCATTGCTGAAAAAAAAATCGAATAAATATTGCCACTAAATATTATAAGTTTCACTTACGGGTGGCCGTTACTCACAGCTGGTGGTACAATATTGAAACGCACAGCCGTTACCCAATGCCGAGTCGCACAGTGAGTCGCACAGCCGTTACACACAGCCGGAGGCACCATGCCGAGTCACACAGCACCAACAGATCTGGCCGTACCACACCGAGTCGCACAGCCGGTGGCACCATGCCGAGTCGCACAGCACCCACACAGAGCCGGCCGTACCACACCGAGTGGCACAGCCGTTACACACATCCGGAGGCACCATGCCGAGTTGCACAGCACCAACAGAGCCGGCCGTACCACATCGAGTCGCAAAGCCGTTACACACAGCCGGAGGCACCATGCCGAGTCGCACAGCACCCATACAGAGCCGGCCGCACCACACCGAGTCACACAGCACCACGCCGAGTCGCACAGTCGTTACATGAGCCGGTTTACCAGCTCACCTAGAGCTCCTTGCATGATGGCCAACTTTCTATCGGCTCTTTTCAGCTGCCGGACCTCGTCCAGAGTCAGGCTAAGGGACCGAAGGGGGAGGTGGAGACGGGTGCTCGCCAACTTCCTGGATACGCGGGTGCCGAGCTGAGGCTGCTTGACGGCGATGAACAGCTTGAGACGCTGTATGACTCGCGGCCCCTGATCTGCAGTTGCCCCCATCAGCAGGCAGAAGTTCCGCTCGAACTCCTCCACAGCGGCCATCCAGGCTTGTGACAGAACAAACATCTGGCCTCGGCTGATCGTCACAATTCAGCTGTTCGGCAGGGTGTTCAGCAGACATGTGCATGGATCCGAGTGATGGATCTATGATCTCAGTGGATCTCGAAGCAAAGTACAGATTGGGATCTATGATCCCACCGGATCCGGCGTGAAAAATACATCTTGGATCTATGATCTCATATGATCTGACGATAAATTAAGAACATGGATCTATGTTCTGAGTGGATCCCACCATGCACCACATTTGATACCATATTTTAAAGGGTTTCTAGGCCAATAAGTGACACAAAACTATGGATTATGACGTGCGATCACATAAAATCTAAAACAGAACGTTAGTGAGTTGAAACAAGTGCTTTTTTGGGATATATGTGTTGACCAAAAATAAGTGAGGATCTATGATTTCACTGGATCTCAGGCAAAAAATGAGACTCGGATCTGTGATCCCTACGGATCTCTCGATAAATTACAGAGCTGGATCTATGATCCCGTCGAATCCGAGATCAGGATCCGTGGGATCAGATCCCAGATTCATTTTCCCGGATCCATGCACATGTCCGGTGTTCAGTGTCTCCGGCGGCGCCCGAGAAGTGGAGACCGACTACCGAGGGTGGCGTCGATGTGGTGACACTTGTATGCCACGAAGCCGGCAACGAGTGCCAGCCCCTCGCGCTGAGCTTCCAGGTTGGAACTCGTCAGCTCGGCGCCGGCCATGGCTGCCAGCGTCGACACCGGCAGCGGCACTGTGAAAGCAGTATTACGCTACATCACTTGAAAGACATTGGCAATTTAATATTGTGCAAAAAAAACGATAACACTTAAACGAGCCTAGTCTACGCATTGAAAGTGACAGATTTCGCGGACAACGAAAAATTCATGTCCTTTGGCTTTGCATTAATCCATTTTCACGTTACTATTGATTATTGAAGCCTCGTTTGGCGACTGCCCCTCAAATTCGCTCGTGATTAGCATGACACTTTTTCAGAAGAAGAAAAAACACTGCATATAAAAATGTTCAAACACCAACCAAGACTGAAACACAACTCAGCTTTTTTCTAAGCACTAGTTGGGACCAGCATAGGTCATTATCAGAACATTTAGTGGATGTGACTTGAGACATCACCTTATTGGATTGAGTGGCCTTATCCCGACAAAAAAGTTACCATTACTCATGGCAAAAAGAATGTTTTGATGCATTTTAACAATGGGAATAAAAATGATGGTGTCGCTCAAGACGGGCCAGAACTTTTAACACTGATGGATATATGTGAACACTTTGTGAGTGAAAACATAAACCATTAGACTTACTTGTCAGAGGTGCCTGCTGGCTGATCTAGAGGTTGCTCGCAGGTTGCTCCCAGAATCTCCTTGACCTCCTTTCTTTGCAGTGGTCCTCCTCAGGGACCTACTCGCCCTCGCCTCAGCTTTCCTGTAAACAGAAAACTCTCAGCACAAACAAATTTGGCTAACATCATGCTGACAGTACAAGCAACTAATAAATAAATGTTGAATAAGATTAAGCACCTACCCATGAAATAACTTCAGTGACCAATTTGAAAATAAACAATAATACCATGTAAAAACATTTTGATTTGTTTTCATTTTTACAGTTCTGATAACATTGCAACGAGATTGAGATGAACCCAGCCCGCAGAATGTGACCATACTATATACAATTTAAATTTTAATGCTAAAAAGTAGAGCTCATTTTTATTTCAATTTGCCACTGTAGCACTAGTTTGTTTACATTGCGTGTTTGCTCTAACCATTTTATTTGTTGAGTGTATCATGTTAGGTCAAGGTACTTATTCGCACTGCAAGCACTGAAAAATTATTACCAGCTCAATTGCAAAAATGGAAACTTTAAAAAATGCCAGATTATCTTTAGATCCATTGCAAAATGAATACCTTGGTTGGGGTTCCTCAGCATGATCCCAGCTTGAAATACTTAGTTGTTCTTCATGATATATGAGACGAAACGTAATACAAAGTGTGGTTGCCACTTATGTTTAGCTTTTGCGACCTTCAAACACATGAAAACGTGTTTATATTATTAAACAAACATATTAAAACTTTGCGTAACAACCAAAGTAATAACACGCAACGGTCGGAAAACACCGCGCCGGTGCGCCAGAATTGACTACATTACTCGAATCTCAGCGACCAATCAGCTTTCGAGCATCCCAGTTACGTCACATTGGCAGCATTTGGTAGCAATTTCCTTGTACGTGTGTCCCTATGGCGATGAACCCCCCCCCCCCCCTGGATCAGCCACCTCCAGAAGTCTCTGCAACGGAGTGACCTGATTATCCCACAGGCAATGGAGGCGCGCGATAGCGCGGTGATGCAGCTCACAGTCATGGCCAACGGCCCTCTCCTCGGCGGCCGAGAGGAGCAGGGGGAAGCGGAGGAGCCTGAGCTACAAAGTCGAGCCAGACGCGTGCCAAACACCAACGTCTCATTCGAACGTGACTTCAAGGCGGTGAGAGGAGAAGTGGTCCAAAGCACCAGCAACTTCCTGAGCGAGCGTCTCGACTTTGAGCAGCAAGAAGTCGTCAAGGACATGAGTAGGATGATAAAGGCTGAGACAGCGGAGGAATTCATCCGCTCCGGGAAGCGCATCGCCCGTGACCTCTTTCCCGGTGAACTCACAGAGTTTGCCCTGAATGTCACCGACAGGTGGCGAGCAATGGAGAATGCTCGCGATGCGGAGAAAACCGATGAGGGAAGGCTCCGGGCATTGCTGAGAGAAGCCACTGGTACCTGCAAAAGAGTCCTTGCCTCTTTTGTGACTCTGACGCCTCACAGCATGGCGACTGAGCGAGCAGTATCACACTACAACAATATCCGTTCTCACCACAGGCTGGGGATGTCCAACTCTACCCTAAACGCGCGACTCATCATCGCTCTGAACGGCGTGGGCACCGCCCATTTTGATCCGCGGCCGGCTGTAACCGCGTTTCTGGAGGGGAAGGGACGCCGTATGCGTGCTGCAGATCCGGAGGTATATGAGAAGCGTGAGTTTGTCTTAAAGTTCTTCCGGGAGGCAGGAAATGTGTAGACGCCACGACGCCAGCTGCTATATGACCTGACACACTGCTGGTACCACGCGATTCGCCGCTTTGAACGGCGTGGGCACCTACCACTCGTTGCGACCCGCGGCCAGCTGTGTGTGCATTTCTTGATGGGAAGGCAAGAGACGGCGCCTGTGAGGGCTAGATTAGGACACGTGTGAGAAGCGTGAATTTGTTTGACTTTCCAAGTGTTTTTTGTGGAGTCCGTAATGTGCAAGCGTCACGGTCACAATGCCGTGTGATAGGTATGAGCAGAAATAAAACTGGGTACATGCATTACTCCATTCGAAAAGGTCTCGTGAGTCGCGAGGCATGGGTTCTTCATTCGTTGTAAGGAGGCGATGACACGAAAACGCCAGACGGTAGAGGTTACCCTGGAAAACGAACTCGCTCCGATGTAATATGACCAATTGTCCATAAACTGGTCAATGAAGAACAACAAGAACAGAAAATCTTGCCTCTTTTGCTAACGATTAGGTCAACATCTAGGACTAGAATCAGCCTTGACCTAAGCTGGACAGTAGAAATGTATCTATACCATCTGTACCTTAGCAACATTAGCAACAGTTTGTCCCAAGGCCCTAAATAACAGTTTGTCGTATCGTATCGGTGATATCGCTCGCACAGCCTTCATTAGGAAATTGCTCTCATCTCGTGCGGTGCTCGCAGTGAATGCTTTCGATGCCCGGATCGTGGTGCAAACTCGAGACGCAACAAGTAGGTACCTGTTTTGACCGCAGAGATAAGTATTATTTTCTGCGTGCTCTACCGTGTAATTTTCTGGATGAGCCAGGCGAGCGATACGTGAGGAGTGCGAATCGGCCTTACTTATCCAGTATAAAGTTAGTCTGAATTTAATAAGCTGTTTTTTTCTTTTAAGCCGGGGCGGGGCTCCCAACTACCAAGCACTCAGTGATACGGCTGAGCTGCTCAGCTGGTCGATTTGACTCTGCCGAATGTAAATGGTGTTTACGTTCCAGTGGACATCTGGATTTGATCTCATATTGCAGTCTGACCTAGGAACACTTGGTCGTCACTATTATCATCACCAAAATGGTCCACCTTTTTCCACTTCGGACAAAATCGATGTCGTTACCAGGCCATAACCGATGACGACAGCTAATGAAGAGACGACGGGGAGGATTAGGTCAATTTTTTATTTTATTTTTTATTTTTATTTTTTCCTAATACAATTTTGGCTTGGTCTCGAAAAATAGTGGGCCAAATCCGGGGAGTTTTCGGATTTTGGTGGGGGTACACCTTTGACCACCTGGTCGTCACTATGTATTGCCATCAGCTAAATGGCCCACCAGTGAAAATTCCTTAGACGAGGCCCTGTGGAAAACCCACTACAAAGAACTACTAAAATTCCTGTTGTATCAACGTACCAAACAGGCATCTATTATTCCGTCGTGAACACGGCTATTGTTGAGCTGAGCAAACTTAAGTCTACTGAGTCTAGTGTAGTGTAGGTATATAGGCATCGGTCTAGTGTAGGTAACCACCAAAAGGTGTGATCAAATGACGGCTGGGGACCTCCCATGACCTATCATAACCTTTTGAGTGAGCACTGATGACATGACCAGCACTGTAAACCAAATTGACAAGTCTTGTGTAATATAACCAATCATCTCTTCGTATGTTTACCAACTGATACTTTTTAGACCAGCCGTTGTCTGGTGCATTGCTTGTCAGGTGGCAACTACGAGTCAATAGTTACTATGCACACCAACTTCTCAGTATCCAGACCAACTCTACATTTGTTTCAACGTTTGTTTCTTAGCCAGTTTTGGAAACTTGTTGCCGCATGGTTATTTAACCGGCTCCTAACTTGTACTGGTCAGCTGGTCAGCATACACATGGTCAGCCTGCGCCTGACGTCAGACTTGGCAATGGCGGACCAATCAGCGGTCGCCGCCCGCCGTTAGCGGGCCCCGGCGCGGCGGTTTCGAACCAGCAGTTGTCGCGCGGCTGCCGTGCAGCCTGGAGCAGCGACGAGGACTGTTCCAGCATTTGTGCAGTAAAAAGTGAAATCTGTGAACTGTGGTGTTCGTGCTGTGAGTGAGGCCCCCTCTGGCCTGCGGGACGCACTAATCGTGCCTATACCCGCGGTCGAGACGCCTCCCTTCCCCTGCGCGCGCAATGTAAGTGGGCCAGACCTGTGCATACACATGTGAGCAGATGTTTTTCGGTCGGTGTTTTTTTTTTACATATAAATACATTTATTTGCCTTTAATTCAACTCTTTGTATTTTTAACTTAACTGATGGACATATATGGGCTGTAAAAGCTAATCTGGTTGGCGATCATGATTTATTCGAATTATTTGCGTGATCGTGCAACTGCATGATTGTTATGCTTAATGTTCAGGAAATATTCGTCATACGATGATGCGGGCATGTTTTACTTCTGGCTTGATGCGGTGCACAAAACCATGTTCTTCCACATATGCAGCAGTAACTTGCTTCAAAGACTTATATGCTGACGGTGCACGATAGGTATACCTACTGGTTATACCTACCTCATGCATTTACCACATCCATTCGAAAATATGCACTCGGAATTGTCTCCAGTCAATAGTATTAATTACGTGACCGTAATAAATACTAATGATTCCAGAAACTTCCGAATGGATGTGGTGTATGCATTCATTGATTATATAACCCATCAGTATTTCGTTTCTTGTCAGTGCAAGCCTTTGAGCAATAACTGATGCCAGGCATGGTTTTGTGCACCAGTTCCAGCCAAAAAATAGCCTGTTCGTGTAGAAAATATTTCCTGCATCAGTATCGTGGCAATTGAAAACGAACCGAATCGAAAGTTCGTAGCCAGGAGCCTGCCACTAATAGGGTTAAGGTTATCAACGCAAACAAAGCGATTGTAAGAAAGAACAAGTTCGAACAGAGCGTTAGTACACTTACTTGTTGACAGTTTAAAAGCTAGCAATGCCCAGTCAAAGGCTAGTTCATCAACAAACCAGGGGTTGGTGAACCGACAAGGAAACGACTGTGCCTATTCAGAAGTTGGTAGGTCCACAAGGCCCAGACTAGTACTCAACAAGGTGACGCCTATGCGAATTGGAACCAAACTTGTAGACAAACTGTTAGTTTGTTGGCCAACAAGCCTGGGGTTGGTGAATCGACAAGGTATCGACAAAGTGACGCCTATGCGAATTGGAACCAAACTTGTAACAAGGAGCCAACTTGTAGATTTGGTTTACAGTGATTGACTACTGACGGCTAGCCATTCCATTAGCTGCACCCTTCCCGTTGCATATGGATTAGGTGGTGATGTCATAATTCTGAAATTATCTTGCAGTTTTGGCGCGCTTGTCAGAGCAGAAGACATTCCCATTTTTCCTCCATAACTACTGCAGCTACATGATGGTGAGGCCATGAAGCCGACCAGACATAAGATCGCAAATTAGAAAGTAAGGAACATAAGAATAGTTGGCACTGCTACTCATGCCTAAGAAATATGCAACTTGTAGGAAACCAGCTTTAGGGTAAGCAAGACTGCAAATTTTGATTTAGAGGCAAGGATGCTTGACAAGGTGATCTTAGGTGTCCTCGGATAAGTTTGGAAACGGGATGCACCACTCGTGCGTTTTGGGTCTTACCAACTTTCGCGGCGTTACGTGCCTTGTTTTTTCATACACGATCAGTACCTAACTTTTGGGATTTTCGGTCAGTCAATCCGTCCCCCTATCAAAAACCCGTGGCACCGTCCCTGGCAATCGGCCGCTTTTAACGAGAGTTATTCGCGAAAAAACGAGGAAGGGGGGTCCGTTCGACCCTCCTCCCTATACGGGCGTAGTTTAAAAAGCTAAATCGAAATGTTTTGCGATTTGTAGCATTTTTCTCCGTGCATACTGTTTGGAGCATACTACTCCGAGCATTTAACCCTAGAACGCCTAGGGGGGGGGGGTTGTATCAACCCCCCCCCCCTGAGGTTTTTTTCGAAGTGCACGCTAAACGGCTTGTCGTAGCGGGCTGCAATTTTCAATACCCTCTGGGGCAACCTTTGCGCATCTTTTGCCGAAAAAAATTGATCGGGTCATGTCAGGTCACGGAGTTATGACGTCATAAGTGGTACAGCCTCCGGCCGACAGTTACCAAACGTGTGCGCCGAATCCCTAGGTTTTCTGCCGGTGATACCCACATTGTTTGATGGATCATGATGAAACTTCCCATGCATGTTGGGGCAAGCATTGGCTATCGTGTGGTGCAAGAAAATTGACCGGGTCAGGTCAGGTCACGGAGCTATGACGTCACAAGAGGAACAGCGTCCGGTACTATTTTTGAAAAGCGCCCGAACCACTATTTTGCTAATTCTTGTCACCTCAATGAGAATATGCAGCAATATTAGCTTCTATAGGGAGCAAATGGACCTCCTAAATCTAAAAATACAATCAGATTTCAAAAATTTAAATTTTGATTTTTCGAATTTCTGCCGCCGACTGTGACCTTGCCGACTTCCGGCGCTCCCAACGCGCCATTTTTAGAGCTAGGGAAACGAAATACATACCAAACGATAGAGAATTGATCAAGGAACACGATAGTGAAGGTTTCAAGTCGATATCTCCCACCGTTTTGCCGCAATCGCCGCGGAAAGTTGAAAAAGTTTGATTTTTTCGGAAAATTTGACCTTTGACCGGTCATAAGTAGGTCAAATGTTGACCTAGGACCAAAAAATATACCACCAATCGCGAGATTTCGTTGAGAGCAATCCGTTGGTTTTTTCCGCTAAGCTCTACGACCTTCCGTTTCGAAACGCCAGGGGGGGTCGTAACAACCCCCCCCCTGGTCGTTCGTGTTATGAGAAATGGCCTGGTCGTGCGAGGGTTAACTAAACCAGATTTTACATATTTGTAGCCATATTAATTGCGCTAAAGGAGAATGGTAGAAACTCACAAAGAGCCACAACCAAATTTTAAGTCTCAAAGAAATAGAAGCCACAGGAAATGTTTGTGCTAACAATTCTTTGATCTCACATTGTGAGGAACATAGCCCACTTATGGGCCATAACTCTGTACCGTTTTGTGCTTACATGTCACACATTGCAGTGGCTAAATGTTTCAGCTAACGTTAGGGAGGTCATGGTCTGTCGGCGGTCCGCCAGTACCTCCGTTTCTTACTCGATAAGGTCACAGTCCACGACATTCTGCAGTTTAATCAAGGTGAGGTAGGCGAAAAACCATCAGTTATGTAGTTCCATTTAATCGGAACTGCTTCTGACGAGTACACAGGACATACAGATGTGACCCTCTCCCCCCGC